AACTTCTTGGACACGCATCTTCGGCTGCAATCGGGACGCTCACGCGAACGTTGACCAGCGACGACTTCGCGTTTGCATCGAGGGCGTGTTTCCTACTAGCAAAACGCAATGCGCAATTGGAATTGGCCACCGTCGCTTGATGACAGCGACTTGCAACATCGTCTTCGACAAGCAGACACACGGTCTCATGGAAAGCCTAGAGAGAAGCCATCTTTCGATTGCAGATCCCGATGCCTGCGTGCATCGTTTCGTGCACCTTGGCGTCGGACACCTTTGGGGTGAAGTCGAAGTGCGACAGGCGTTGGAGACTGGAAAACGCTACAGAGTCATGAAGAAATCAGTGGCCATGCCAAAGCTCATACAACGATCGACTGCGCAGTTCACGCTCCTCAATAAGAGATCAGACACCCAGGGCCTCTTCGTCGAGTATTTGGTGCATGCGCCGTGCGAGCTAGACGGGCAGAAGGCGACGCACATGTATCCAGGGCTGTTGAACGCGATCCCTGACGAGCTCAACATCGCGAAGTGGTTGGACCCGCATGCCACAGTCTCATCGCACTTATCTCTTTGCACGTTCCAGCCCATCGCAGACATAGCCAGCGCAAACGTCAGCATCCTCAAGTTATGGCGGGCGAAGGCAGAGGAGATCCAGTTTGCGCGCGACGAGCGCACAACCTGTTCTTGTTTGCCAACTACACGTGGTATACATTCACACCACAGGGGGACGTTGAAACTCAAGGCCATCAAGAGACACACCATGAGGCATGTCTCCATCGCCGCTGCCAGTAAATACCGCACTCAACTCGAGCGGACCACCACGGGAGTTGAACGTTGCACCTCGTGGTTGATGTTCTGTTCGACTAGTCTGCTGATTTTCACCTTCGGAAGGACTGTCAAGACGAGCCCCAGTTCGTGGGTGACCTGAAAATATTGGTGCCTTTTGTTGAATGGCGGCATGCGCAACGACAAGCTCCAACACTACTGAAGTCCCATGACTGGTCGTCCGTGTTGCAACAGCAAGGCAGACGCAATCGACAAGTTGTGTACGGGATTGGTTCACGCCGTATTCGCCACGTCGGATCCGCGGCCTTACGAAAGTCGGTGGACAAACTTGCTGATGAATATGAAGCGGACTCTCTTACGACGTTTGACTTGCATGATCAGGGTGGCCAGCTTCGTCGGGGTCCTACAAGCTCGAGGTCGACATGGCCAACGTGATGTACCCGTACTGCGTGAGGTTGCCGGCGTGCCTGATGCAGATTATCGGAAGCATGTGATCAATGTGAGAGCGAAGAAAGTAAACTAATACTACGGTGCTGAGCGCAACTTATGGGGGCTTACCGTGTTCGTGGGGGCCCTGGAGGCGTGCGATTCCACGCTATTGTACCCTCTTCTCGGGGATCCCATTGCCAGCGCGAAGAGGGCCGACCAGCGGTCGAGGATGGACATCTAGCTCGATAAGGGCGACGCTGGCATCGGCAAGTTCAGCCAGCAGATGCTCGACTTGGCAGATTCGTGGGGCGTCGACGGCCCCAGGCGTAAACCATGGTGCATTCTCGACACGTTGGAAGCGCCCTTGACAGAGTAATCTTTTTCACGACTCGCACGGTCGCAACTTCTCTAACTCAACAGTGTGGTTTTCAGGAAGTACGAATCCAGGTTCCCCGATATCCCCATATTGTTTGCACCCGTCGACCACCGGCAAAGCGTCGAACGAGGAGATGCGCAGTGCTGCTGCAGGGGCCATCCACGCGCCTACGCGCGTGAAGGACTCGCACACCAAAGGCATCGCCAGCCATGGCAGCAGCGCGGATAGGATGCCTTCGCCCGAATGAACGTCAGCGCTCTTTGCAGATTTCCTCCAGCACGCGCGCGGCGGGCGACTTCGTCGAGGGGCCAAACAGCGAGTATGCAGCGAAGCATCCAGCGCGAGCTCCAGGGCGCAGCAGTCTAAACGCTCAGCGAGAACGTCTGTCACAGCAAGCCCGCGCAGTTCATCGCGGGCATGGCGGGCGCCATCCGCTCAAGACAGGGTGCCTCAGCGAAGATATCAAGGAGGGGATCGTGATGGCGTTGCCTCCTTTGGAGACTCACTCAAGCGCAATTCAACGTGGCTCAAGCATGTAGAGCAGTCGGCTGGAGCTTCACCTGCGCTTGCAGATGGTGACCCTGGCCCTCAACATCCCCGAGCAGACGCCGATTCGTTGGCCATCTGTCCTGTCCTGGAGCCGTCTGCATATTTCGATGGCTTGCGCAGTGGCCGGGGTCGAGTGGTGCTCACGCGAAGGCCGAACCCACCGGGCCTATCTAGTGGGCGAGGAGGCCCAGCGGCGTCGACGAAGGAGCCCGAAAACACGGCCACCCGCTTTGTGCTCAGCGCGCACATGCTCGAGAATAACGAAAGCATGGAGGCCGCCAAGGCCGCGGCAGGGCGCGGGCTCAAGGAGATGTTCTCCGAGCCCCAACAAGGGCGCCCCAAAGGGGGCGCGCGACCTGTGGAGGCGGAGCCCGAAAGCCGAGGAGGCCTTGGAGGTGCCGACCTACAGGCCCATCTGGGGTGGCGGAAACAACGCGGTACCCATCGCGGGCGAGGAATTCTGCGCTTTCATCACCGCTCGCGGCTGGCCATCCTATCACGAGGTTGGCCAAGGCCGATGAGTCCATTCAGTTCGAGCTCTTCGCGGACGTCGACGCGTGGGGAGTTGGAAGGGGTGCCAGGAATGTCGACCGACAGGCATCGAGAGCTCCCGAAGCGTTCGATTTCGTGGAGAAGGGGGCCATAAACTACATGGCGCACACCCGCACGCAGAAGGCGGAGGAGGCCGACACCATGCTCGTGGGTGAAGGCCCTGGCGCGCGCGGTGGTCGCTGGCGGTGCGCCGGCATTGTGAGCGACGTCGCGCGGGGCCCCAAGGTCTTCGACGTCACCTGGAACAACTGGGCCGTCGCGACCAACGAGACGTCCGAGGACGCGGGCTTGAGCGAACGCCCGGCTTTCAAAAAGACTCCGGGGGCGAGGGTAAGGCTATGGCGCTCCAAGGTCACGTGGATCCCAAGGCCCACGCATGGGGCCGATCGTTTGTCGCGTGTCCGAAATACCCTCCCCCTCCCCCAGCAGCAGGCAGCAGGTGTAAAAACGCTGTTTTTGGGAAGTTGTTTTTTGGTGGGGTCTCTTCAACGTTCTTACCCATACCCTGACCCCTAAGGACTTGGTGCTGCCTTGCTGGGTGAAGATTGCCGATCGCCCAAACAAGGTGTCGGATCGCTTCCAAGCTATCGACTCCATGACGTCGGACGAGTGGATTGGCAAGCTGCTGGCGGAGCTCGCGAGCATGACGGTCTACGAGGCGGGGCACGAGGTCGATCACGCGTGGGGCGGTCTGGAACCGACCGCGACGAGCTGAAACCGGTGAGCGCCGATCCGAGAGACAATCAATACTCCAGCGGCTGAGTCGTTGGAAGGTTGGAGCGGCGATCCGCTCGTCGCGACCTGCTCCCCGGTGCTTGCCCATCTGCCACGACGCCACCTCCGCGTGCGGCACCAGCTCGAACGCCACCTCCTTGCGGGCATGCGCGAGCCCGCCCGCCCCGCGAGTCGCCCCCGCCGCGGGCGACGCGACCCGGCCGGCCGCCGCCTGCTCCCCGAACGCCACGGCGGAGGTGTCGGACAACAGCCCGGCCCGCCAGCAGCCTGGGAGTCACCACCGCCGCGGCGGGGGAAGAAGCGGCACCCGGCGCGGCCGCGAGCCGGACCGCCTGCGCGTGTAGCTCGAGCGACCGCCCGGCCAGGCCGCCGTCGCACAGCAGGCCATCGCCGGCCTGAGGAGGCCCGACTCGGCCGCCGTGTGCCGGCGCCGCGAGCACCTGCCCAGCGAGGTCCACGTCCTCGATCGCCACGTCGGGCGTGGCCACGGCCCACGGAGCATCGCGAGGGCGCCGCAGCACCGCAGGATGGTGCCATGTGCGCGGGCCGTGGGCGTCGTCCCTCAGCATGATCTGGGGCTCGCCCACGACAATAGCCCGCTCCGCGTCGGCCATGGCCGCCGCCATCACGCACGTCGAACCCCAGCCGCCGCGAGCTGAGCCAGCACGTCGTCAGCGTGGCCACCGCGTGCGCAGTAGCCAGCGTCACACGGCACACGCCGCCAGGAGGCACGCGGCCGCCGCCAGCGCCGCGCACAGCGCCGCCAGCAGCAGGGCGCACAGGCGGAACCACTCCAGGTCACCGCGCGCGTCGAGGAGCTCACGCAGCTCCTCCTCGCACGAGCACTCGGCCTTGTGGCGGCGCCGCAGGCACGAACGAGAAGACGATCACCAGGCCCAGGCGCTGACCCCACGAAGGCGGCCGCCCAGGGCACCCCCTCCGACTGCATCGGTTCGACCCGAAGCGTCTTCTGCACCAACCTCTTCCGCCGAGACTTAAGTAATGTAGCAACTAGCAAAACAAATCGTCGGAGATCTGGGCACATTTCCCCCCCCCGCCCCCTACGTGCCTTCCTCGTTCGGCTACGCGTGCAGTGAGGGCGCGGCCGCAAGAAACCCTCGCAAGAAACCCAACCCTGAAAACCCGCGCGCGAGGTGCGCCTGAGGGGAAACCGGGAGCACCCTGAACGCAGCAGCTTCTTCAATGGCTGCGGGAAGTCACCGCGCAGCGCGCGGAGCGAAGACACCCAGGCTACCCCGACGAAAAACACATGGTTTCTTCATGCGCGCCCCCACTGTAAGGGTGACCCTGGGCAAGGGGGGTCTTTGGTGCGCGACTTCTGGGGGCCGCAGGGAGGCCGAACCGGAGCGCGCCAACCGCTGCTATCGCATCGCGTTCAACCATCTGGGGGCCCCAGTGTGCCCACGTCCCCAGCGTGCCCGCACCAAAGGTCACTCCAGCAAAAGGTCCCTCCTTACGTACAGCCGACTCAGACCAGCGAATCTCCGCCTCCTCCGAGCGAAGGGCAGGGGGCGTCCGACCATGCGCGGGCCGGTGGCGCCAGGCGGCGGCGCCATCATCGGCCTCCGCTGCAGCGCTTCCCTCCTCCACCTGCTGCGGCCCTCTGGGGGCACGGGGGGTATCCATCACCACGGTACAGGGAGCAGGAAAAACCGCCCTCATAACTAACACCCCGCAGGGCGAACCGATTTAGAAGACGCACCCAAGGAAGGAATCGAACAGGGCAGGGCTGTCTAGCAAAGAACCAGGGCCATTTCCCCAACGCCAGTGATGGGGGTCGGGGTGCTCTCTCCTCCCTTGACGGCAGCCCCCTCTGAGGGGATGTAGCGGCCCTTCGTGCTGGCTGGGGAGCCAATGTCCGCCAAAATCTGGGCCCGGACTTGGACAAGCTTCGTGGTCGATGCTTGCCCTATCCCGGCCCTCCTCTCGTCCGCCTCCCTATCGCTTCCAGTCAGCCACTAGCCCTCAACTCCCCTTCTCCCCGCCTCTCCCCCCCATCCCCGCTCCCTCAATTCTGCTCCCCTTCCCTCTGTTCCGCTCCGCGTCCACCAGAACCCTCAGTGCACCCGCGCCGCTGTCACTGCTGGAGCACACAGCAGAGAACGGGGGCCGAAAGGTCCTACACCGACCCTGGCTGCGTGGCCGAAGGGGGTCCCCCACGGTGCGGATTTCTTGCTGCCTGTTGCTGTTTGTTGTCCTTGTTGACACATCCGTGACCAACCCTCGAACCGCCGGTGACCCTCCCCGCAACCCACCTTGCGATCCACCCCGCGACCTACCCCGCGACCACCCCTCCGGCGGCCCACCCCGCGACCCACCCCACGCCCCGCCCCGCGACCCACGCGCAACCCGCCCCGCAACCCGCCCCGCGACCCACCTCACGACTCATCCCGCGATCCGCCCTGCGACCCACGCGCGACCGGCCCGCGACCCAAACCGCGACCCGCCCTGGCCTGCGAGCCTCGCAAAGTGCCGACGATGGGACGCAGAAGGACATACTACTACTACTACTACTACTACTACTACTACTACTACTACTACTACTACTACTACTACTACTACTACTACTACTACTACTACTACTACTACTACTACGACTACTACTACTACTACTACTACTACTACTACTACTACTACTACTACTACTACTACTACTACTACTACTACTACTACTTACTACTACTACTTACTTACTACTTACTACTACTTACTACTACTACTACTACTACTACTACTACTACTACTACTACTACTACTACTACTACTACTACTACTACTACTACTACTACTATACTATATACTACTACTACTACTACTACCTACTACTACTACTACTACTACTAACTACTACTACTACTAACTACTAACTACTAACTACTAACTACTAACTACTAACTACTACTACTAACTACTAACTACTACTACTACTACTACTACTACTACTACTACTACTACTACTACTACTACTAACTACTACTACTACTACTACTACTACTACTACTACTACTACTACTACTACTACTACTACTACTACTACTACTACTACTACTACTACTACTACTACTACTACTACTACTACACTACTACTACTACTACTACTACTACTACTACTACTACTACTACTACTACTACTACTACTACTACTACTACTACTACTACTACTACTACTACTACTACTACTACTACTACTACTACTACTACTACTACTACTACTACTACTAACTACTAACTACTAACTACTAACTACTAAACACTAACTACTAACTACTAACTACTAACTACTAACCACTAGCCACTAACTACTAACTACTGACTACTAGCTACTAACTACTACTAACTACTACTACTACTACTACTACTACTACTACTACGACTACTACTACTACTACTACTACTACTACTACTACTACTACTACTACTACTACTACTAGAACCACGTGTGCGCTTCGCGCGCGCGCGCTCAAGTTCTAGCAAGCTCTGGTTGTAGCCTGAACTCTTCGGCATCGGATGACATCTAGTGAATAATGCGTTCAGTTTGGAATTCCCCGTTGGAGTCTTGGGGGGTTCTTGGGTCGTCTGAAGGCTAACCTTGAATTTCTTGAGGCCACCTGGGGGGCATCGCTGGCTTTCAAACGATCCTCGTGGTCCGCTTTGAACTGTCCAGTGGCGTTTGGCCCTCCGTTTCGAGCGACCCATGAACCACCTCCAGCTGCCGGAAGTCTTGATTTAAAGCTCCAAGATGGTTTGAAAACGACCCCAAGAATCCCCCAGTCGCCCCTAAGACGGCATCAAACCGGCCCAAGAGGTTCAGCAGACGCCCCCAGAGGTTCCCAAGAGATCCTCAAGAAGCTCCCAAGAAGCCCCCGAAAATACACTGAGAAGGCCCCCTAGAGGTCATCCTATGTTCCCCAATTGTTTAACAACGGCTGGAGGAGCACGCAGTCCAAACGCTTGCCCAAACTCTCCCCAACGGTTAAGCACATAGGCGTTTTCCCCAAAGGCAGGGGACGGCGGGGACTCGCCGTAAGCGTCTTCGATGTGGCGCCCCCCGTAGCTTGCAAGAGGGGCACGTGGCCTGCCAAGATTGATACCGTGGTTGACCCTTTCCAACCGATTACTTATTGCTGACGGTCCGTCCGCCGCCAACGCACACAGCAACCAACATCAAGACGAGCCCAAAAAGCCCAAGACGGTCACAGCTAGTCTCCAAGACGGCACGAGGGTCCCAAGAAGCCTCCACGTTCGCCCCACATGCCTCCAAGACAGCCGAGATGACCTGAAGGGAGCCCGAGGCTTTCCAAAACAGCCTGAAGAAGCCTAAACCACTGACTGTGACCGTTTGAATGATTTCCGTTCCTGAGAAAGGCCAACAGCCTCAAGGCGGCCAAAGAACCCTCCGATGGGCCCAAGACGGCCAAAACGTCACAAAGTGGCCCCCAAGAAATCCAGAAGACCGCACCCAGAGGGCTCCAAGACGGCCCTACAGCGATTGGAATATCCATATGACGATCCGCGAGGCTCCCGCGACGGTTTCTGGATGCGTCCGATGGGCCAACAGCGCTGCTGGGAGCGCGTTTCAATACTCGCGGCCATAACGCGCGTAATGGGGAGGGGGCGGCGGGGGGGGACATAACGTAACGCCTCCCCCCCCCGCCGTGTGGCTCCGGCACCACAGCGCCTGTGCGCATCACAGCAAGCACCACAGTGCGCAGCGCAGTATGCACCGCCGCAGCCACGTGCACCACATCGCCTATGTACTGCGCAGCGCATGCGTGCACCATCGTGCAGCACCACAGTGTTCGCATCCTCCACATTTTCCTTCGAGCATGATTTCGTGCTGGCGTTTGCTCCCACTGTGTTGCATCTACGTTGTACCGCAAAGGGTGCTACGGTACTGTGCTTGTGCCGCCTCCAGAACCGAAGCGTACCACGAAAATTGTCTCAAATCTGTACCGCACTGCTTCTTTGCGATGCGTGCTGCACGCGTGCACCGCGATGCTTGCGTGCACCACAGCAGCCGCGTTCGCCGCATCGCGCGCGCACGCCGCAGCGCGCGGGTGCACCACAGCGCGTGCGGACACCGCAACCCCTGCGTTGACTACACTTCTGTTGTAGACATGGGTTCTGCGCAGAGTCGAGGCGTCCCTTGGTCCGAAGGAGTGGGCGGGCAACAATGATGCCTGCAAACACGCACGATACAGGCGAACAACCGCGAGAACACGATTGCAGTACGGTCGGCACTCCAGTAGCTTGCGAGCACCGCGGCGCGCCTGTGAGCATTTAGCTACACTTGCGACGCCGCACGGCGGAAACGCGCAAGCCTCTCGGATAACGCCCTGTTAGCCACGCTGCGAACCTCGAGCCCAGAACCTCAATCCTCCGACCGGTATCCAGTCAAATAAACCCGCTTGACCTCAGTTCGGGGCCAACCGTAGCCAGATGTTCGAGCTGCGCGTGGCCCAGGCGACGACTGCCTCCAGAACCGCCCCGAAAACAACTGAAAGGACGTCTACTACGACCGTAAGCCAACGCCAACCAGGACGACCACTACGACTCCGATCCCGACGACCACACGACGGCGACCACGATGATGACCGCGATGATAATCACGATGATTATGACGGTGGTTATGAATTTTATGTTGATCGTGACTGTTACGATGAGGGTCGCAGAGATGATTATATGCTGACGATGATTATCGCTACGACTAAGATGACAACAACGACCATGGCGATTTCGACGACGATGACGACAACAACAATTACGACAAACACAACAACGATCACCACGACCACAAGACAACCACGACGACGTTTACAAGGACACCCCGTTGCCCCCTCCTCCTCCTCCTCCTCCTCCTCCTCCTCCTCCTCCTCCTCCTCCTGGTATCACTTTATCCGTAAGGGCTTCGCCCCCTGCCGCCGGCCCCCTCTCTCGGAGAATGGGCCATGGAAGAGCTAAGTCATGAGGCCTTGGCGCTGTCGTGAAGCAGTATCGAAACTTCATGCGAAGCCGATTCGCAATCAGCAAAACCAACTGATCACAAGAGGGGTTACCACACCTGGCGATTGGTAAGACGTGTATGGTTTACGGGCTTGGTTACCACACCTTGCGATTAAAGGGCCGAGGGAGTTCTCGCAGTTTGGGTTACCACGCCTTGCGATGGATGTGCGTGAAGGGTGGCACCGAATTTCAGAAATGTGGCAAATCCCATGTGTTTTTGGACCCTGACCCCGCGGATCTGCGTGAGGGGTGGCACCGAATTTCAGAAATGTGGCAAATCCCATGTGTTTTTGGACCCTGACCCCGCGGATCTGCGTGAGGGGTGGCACCGAATTTCAGAAATGTAGCAAATCCCTGTGTTTTTGGACCCTGACCCCGCGGATCTGCGTGAGGGGTGGCACCGAATTTCAGAAATGTGGCAAATCCCTGTGTTTTTGGACCCTGACCCCGCGGATCTGCGTGAGGGGTGGCACCGAATTTCAGAAATGTGGCAAATCCCCTGTGTTTTTGGACCCTGACCCCGCGGATCTGCGTGAGGGGTGGCACCGAATTTCAGAAATGTGGCAAATCCCTGTGTTTTTGGACCCTGACCCCGCGGATCTGCGTGAGGGGTGGCACCGAATTTCAGAAATGTGGCAAATCCCTTATGTTTTTGGACCCTGACCCCGCGGATCTGCGTGAGGGGTGGCACCGAATTTCAGAAATGTGGCAAATCCCTGTGTTTTTGGACCCTGACCCCGCGGATCTGCGTGAGGGGTGGCACCGAATTTCAGAAATGTGGCAAATCCCCTGTGTTTTTGGACCCTGACCCCGCGGATCTGCGTGAGGGGTGTCGATTTCGAGCCCCCCAGCAATTCAGACAACGCGCCCAGGGGGTGCTAAAAATCGGTTTGGGCCTCCCCCCCCCTCGCGCGGTCAATCAACTAGTTACAGTAACCAGCAATAAGTCAACTAGTTACAGTAACCAGCAAGAAGCAGAACTGTAACACTGGAAACTACAAGCTACAACTGGTACAGGAAACTGCGAACCTCGCGCCTACAGCCTGGTGGCCCCACAAGGGGGCCGGCGGATTTGCTGCGACTGTTGCCACTCCTTCTGCTACCAATGCCACTGCCACACATCTCGCGGCCATGCCAGCACCAGAATACAGAGTGAACCCCGTGCGCGTGCGCAAAAAATGCCGGACCCTGCATGTGCGACAATAGCCTGCGAGCGCAGCACCATGTCTGCGAGCACGGGCAATGAGCCTGTCAACACCACGCTAGGCTGTGAACGTAAATAGCCTGCAAGCACCACAAAAGCCTGCGAGCATCAGAATGACAGTGCCGGAGGCGCAAGGCGCACAACAGGGGGGGGGACGTGACGTTATGGGGGGGCGGGAGGCGGGTGGTGGGTGGGGGGGCAAAACGCGCGTTGTGGCCCAGAGGATTCAAAAACACGCTCTAGACGGCTCAAACGGCTCACGGGAGGCTGGAGAAGTTTCATAACATTGCGCCGTTTCTTTTGATTCACCTCTCACACGGGTCGTGGCCCGCAGGAAGCCTCACGGACGGCCCCAGAGACAAGGTTCGCATCCCGCGCACCCGCCTGCATTGGCACGTCTCTCACACGGATCGTGGCCCACGAGGATCTCCACTGGCGGCCCCGGGGGCAGGGTTCGCATTACGCCCCCCCCGCCCATTGCGGCACACCTCATCACGCGGATCGTGTCCACGGGGAGCACCACTTGGAGGCCCAGGGACAAGGTTCGCACAACGCCCCCCCGCCCACGTCAGCACGCCGTCCCACGAAGCTCTTGACCGCGGCGGCCCTGCCCTTGAAGCTCTTGAGGCCTCTCGAGATGCGTTTTGGGGGTCCTCTTTTGGAGCCCTTTGGGGGCCTCTGAAGGGCCTGCTGGCGGCCTTGGGGGCCTACTTGTGGTGGAAGGCTCGACATGTAAATTCGAATTCTCCCTCTTGGGGCCCTCTTGGGCGCCTCTTGGACCATCAAGGGGCTCTCCTAGGCCGTCCTGGGGACCTCTTGGGGGTCTCTTGGGCCGTGAGGGGATCTAGCGAAGAGAACAAACTAACAAAGGATACCGGGCCAACCGCAAGGCAGACGATGGCGCCTGCTCGAACGAAAGCAGAGGCCCAGAAGCCCCAGCCTAAAGCCAAGAGGACGACGACGAAGACGAAGACAGACACAGACGAAGGATACGACGACTGTGGCGATGCGGCGCTGACGCCCGTCCAACCCGAACATCCGACGTCACGATTGTTTCGTGACGTGGCGTCCCAAATATCGACCCCACCCAGGGGACTGGTTCTTCATCCAGGCTGGTTCTTGACGGCACCGTAGCCCGAAAGGGCATCAAGAAGCCAAGACCAATGGACAACTGAACGTCGATTTGTTCGTCACGTCACGGGATCCTCGCTCTCAAAATGGCCCCCCCCCCCAGACCTGTCCTGGGATGCGCTCCAGCCAGACTTTCGAAATGGATTCACCCGTGGCCACGAGGGATTCCCTGGAGGGCCAAGATGGCACACCAGAACGCTCACAAGCCCCTGACCTCTCGAATACTTCAGAACCGTACCCAAATCAATCCCCAGACTCCTTCAAGGATCCAACCCTCACCAGATCCGAGCGGGAACCCACCCGTGGCGACAAGAAGCTTCCCAGATGCCCCAGGCAGGCCCGACAAAGACCAGAGACTTCGAAGCTCGATCCTCGAGCTGCACTGTTCGCGACGCTGGAAGATCCGGAGACTGCCCGCCCCGCCCCCGCCAACCCCCGCCGAGCGCCTCGTCGGCATGTGACCCGGGGCCGCCATCTTGGGGGCCTTGTTGGGCATGTGCTTCGCCGGCACGCCTCCCACCGCTCTCCCGGCCTGAGGAAGGAGGATGAGGCTGACCGCCCATTTAGGGGGGGGGGGGGGGGAGGGAGAGGGTCAGGTGGAGGGGGAGGAGGCGGAGGAGGAGGGAGAGGAGGAGAAAGGAGGAGGAGGAGGAGGAGGAGGAGGAGGAGGATGCGGATGCGGAGGAGGAGGGGGAGGAGGAGGGGGGGGATGAGGAGGGGGATGAGGGGAGGATGAGCGAACGATGCAGCTGTGGTGCACCGTCTGCTTATGGAGACGCGCCCGACGGCCCGACGCCGCCGCGCAGGCTCGGCGAGAGCCTCAGGGCGGAGCGAGCGGCCTGGGCCGGGCCCCTCTGAGCACCTTCTCTGGTCAGAGGCCCTGCTGGCCTGCTGCGGCCCTGCGCGCATCCACGTCGGCAGGCAGACGAATGTTGGGGCTGGCCTTAGCCTTGGACGCCTCGCGCGTCGTTTTCGCCACCGGCGCTCCGTCGCTGCCGAGCTGTCTGCAGTGCTCTCACAATCGGCAGCCCTGCCGTCGGCTCCTCGGGCACGTGCCGTGCCCGTGCCAACATCACGCCTCTACCCCTCGAGACGGGCCATGTGCTTCTTCTGGGCCTCTAGTGTTTTCTTGACGTGGTCCAAGGCACCCTTGAACATCTGGCTGAGTACCTCCTGGCGGATCTAGTTTCCTGCCGCGGTCTTCTTTTTTCGAGCTCGCCAACTTCCGCCTACTCCAGCTCGCGAGAATCAGTAATATCACCCGTGCCCAGAAATCGCCCGTGGAGGAGATCGAAGCCCGCTCCATCTTGCCCTCGACCAGCACACGCATGCTGCTGGTGTGTGTGGAGGAGGTGGGCAGCTGCAGCGGATGCCTTGGCCTGCCTTGTCCTGGACCTCCGCTGCTGCTCGACGTAACTTTGCGCTGGCTGCTTCGAGGTCCTTGGCGAGATCCGCGCTGGAAGCGACCAGCTCCCAGTGGCTGGCCCTCCACCTCTCCCGCTCAACGCATCCACTGCTCAGCTTCTTCTCCAGCGTGAGCGCCCGCTGCTCTGCTTTCTGCTGCATCCTGCCATCCGGCAGAGGGAAGCCATCAGTGACCCCCCCCCCCTGCCCCCCAAACTCAAAGTTGCCACGCGCGGAGGAGACTGCGGTCGAGGTGCAAAACTCATCAGACCCACCGCCAACTCTGAACATTGGGGGGAGGGGGAGGCGTTCACGGACGAATGTGGCATGAATGTTCGCTTTTTTTCCGGGGCCTGTCGCTGACGAGCCGGGGTGACCGCTGGCTGCGCTGGCGCTCGAACCGTCAACGCTTTGCACCGTCCGGCCCCTGCTGGGTGGCCTGTTGCCTCCGCCAAGGCAGCAAGCCACCCAGCTCCGTCGGCCGCGATGGCTAGAGCAGGCCCTGGCTAGAGTTGTGGATGCCATGGCAATGGACCCCCTAACAGTCTTATCATTGAGTTTACAATGTGTTTAAAATGTCGAAACATATTCTACACATGTTTCAAACACGTTGTTTTACATATGTAAAACATACTTGAAACATGTTTTAGACATCTGGAAATGATTTGGCACCATGCTTCCTCTCCATTGATCGTCCTCCACAGGGCTAGAGCCCCCTGCTGATCCCGATGGGGCCAGAGGAGGCCAATCATCTCGATCCCTGCCCTTGCCATGGCCAGGTTTCCCTCCACACTTCTCGCGCCCAGTCTTGCCTGACCCGGGTGGCTCTTCCGACCTGCTGGCGCCGGCGCTGGCATGAGGGCGAGCAAGGGAGGAGAGCCGCAACGTTTGCAACACAGGGGGCCTCTAAGCCTCAGTCGTCACTGCTGAGGATTTATGAAACTCGTTCGGAGCCCCTCGTCTCGTGGCGCGTGACCCCTGAGCTCCCCCCGAGTGTTGTCGCATAAGTTGTTCGGGCCCAAGAAGGCCCCAAGACGGGCCAAGAGGACCCCAAGAAGCCCCCAGGACGGTCCAAGAGGGTCCCGAGTCGCCGAACGATCGTCCCAAGACGCTCAAGATGGCCCCCAGGCGGCCCAAAAGGCCTCCAGGACGCCCGAAGAGGCCTCCAAGAGGCCTCCCAAGAAGGCCCCAAGAGGCCAAAATCATTGACGTTCCTTTGGTTCTTGTAGGATTTTGGCGTTCTCGCCTTTTAGGCTTCCCGACGCTCCCAGACGGCCCCAGACCCCAAGACGGCTCCAAGACGGCCCAAGGCCTCCAAGAGGGTCCCCAAACGACCAAGGAGGGCCCCAAGACAACCCAAGAGGCGCCCAACACGGCCCAAGAGGGCCCAAAGACGGCAGCGAAAGGGGCCCATGAAAGAGGGACCACGAACCGAATATCCAAGCCTTCTGCCCCAAGAGGCCCCCAAGAGGTCCCAAGAGGCTTAAAAGAGGCCCCAAGAGGCTCCCACAAACGGCCCCCAAGAGGTGTCCAAACTGCCTCCGCGAGGCTTCCGAGAAGCCTCCAACGAGATTCCAATGAACCTCACATGGCCTTCATGTCTTCAGCCCAAACAGGGTGGCGGGATGGGCAGAAGGCCATGAGATAGTATGACCATCTTGTCGAATGTCGTTTCCCGAGCGGTGCGGCCAGAAAGCGCTGGCCACGGAGCTTGTACTATACAATTTCTCGGCGCGCGATTCACCAATTGGGCCAACGCAGACATAGCATCAGCATGTTGGGGTGACGCCGGCCATGCTCGCGTGTCCACGAGGCCAGGAGCTCCCCCTCCCCCTGCTCTTCCTCCTCCTCATCCTCCTCCTCCTCTTCCTCCTCCTCATCCTCCTCTCCTCCTCCTCCTCCTCCTCCTCCTCCTCCTCCGCCTCCTCTTCTTCCTCCTCCTCCTCCTCCTCCCTCCCTGTTCCTCGTCCTCCTCGTCCTCCTCGTCCTCGTGCTCGTCCTCATCCTCCTCTTCCTCCTCCTCCTCCTCCTCCTCCTCCTCCTCCTTCCCCCACCCCCTGCTCCTCCAGGGGTCTACGAAGCCATGCCCCCTCCAAGAACTCACGGAGGAGCGCACGCTGTGGCCTATGCCGCGGGGCGTACCGCGGGCGGATCCCCTGCACGGAGCCGACTGGGCGAAAAAACGAACAGCTGCCGCGGGCCAGCGGTGCCCGTGTGCTGCCGCGGACAGTCAAGCGACTTGAGCCAAATTGGCCCCGGATGCGGGGGAAGGCGGAGGAGGAGGAGGAGGAGGAGGAGGAGGAGGAAGGGGAAGAGAAGGAGGAGGAGGAGGAGGAGGAGGAGGAGGAGGAGGAAGAGGAATAGGAGTAGGAATTAGACTAGGAGTAGGAGGAGGAGGAAGAGGAGGAGGAGGAGGAGGAGGAGGAGGAGGAGGAGGAGGAAGAGGAGGAGGAGGAGGAGGAGAAGGAAGGCGAGGAAGAGGAGGAGAAGGAGGAGGAAAAGGAGGAGGAGGAGGATGAGGAGGAGTTGAGGGATGTTTGCCGACGGCGTCGCTGGACACGGGGGGTCGGACAGCAGTGTTCGGGACGCGCAGACATGACCGATGCAGATGTAAACGAAAGGCAGGAGGAGGCGGAGAACACGAGGCGACGGGAGGCGGGATAGACCACCTCCCTCACTTGCCATCGCTCGGGCTCCCCGTGTATTGGTGGACTTTTCGCGTTTTCTCTGCTTCGCAAGACGACCCAAGATGCTCCTCGATGGCCTCCGCCGAGAAGATACGGTGAGGACATTGGACAAGGAACCATTCGGTAAGAACTCCGGGGCCCGGCAGCCAGGGGAACTCCCATCTTGCATCGGCCATGGATGACGCTGCCGCCCTCATCCGACAAGGAATGCCCCAGGGTCTGAAGCCTCCTGGGCACACTCCTTAACCAACACCCCCACCGTGTGCACATGTCCTCCTCCTCCTCCTCCTCCTCCTCCTCCTCCTTCTCTCCTCCTTCTCTCCTCCTCCTCCTCCTCGCTCCTTGGAGCCCTGACCGAGAGATGCCGAGCTCAAGGCGCGCACCTCCGCCCCAAGCACTTTGCACTGAGGACGTGGCCAGCGGTGCGGGCCCCGCGCAGGGCACCGGCCGCATTCCTCATCGCCCAGCAGTGTGCTCCGCGAGGCCGCCTCGTGCAGGCGAGCCAGGGCACCTCGCGCTTGCGATGAAAGCTGTTCTCGGAGTGTACCAAGCAGCCGCCCGACTGGGTGAACGTCACGCGTCTCCTTGGTAGAGGCCAGGGGCTCCTTACCCCAAAGGCCGATACACTTTCCATCCCGCGGGCGTCCATCCTCCGTGCATCTGTCGGCTTCGTGCTTGCGCTTTTCCGCAAGACGATCCAAGATGCTCCTCGATGCTCCTCGCCGAACAAAAATGCACACGTCCGAGCGATGCCAAGTACACCGGGAGGCCGCGGTGGTGCTCGTGGCGGCAAGTGTGGTGGCGGAGGGCCAGCCCGCTCGGCCCCCATGGCGAGGTGCCAAATCAGCCGAGGTCTCGCTCCGCTCACGCGTGCACCTGTGGCGCGCGCCAAGTAAGCGACGAGAAGACACGGGCCTTGCGCCAGATGACGTAGCGACCTCACCCGGCGGCCGACGCGCGGGCCGCCCGCACGGCACGCTGCCACTGGAGACGAGAGGGCGCCTACGCGCGACCTCACGCGGGCAGCTTGCGCGCCACTGCCGGCGCGAGGAGTGATGATGATGATGATGATGATGAGGAGGAGGAGGAGGAGGAGGAGGAGGAGGAGGAGGAGGGGGGAGGAGGAGAAGAAGAGGGGGAGGAGGATCAGGAAAAGGAGGGGGAGAGGGAGGAGGAGGAGGAGGAGGAGGAGGAGGCGGAGGAGGATGAGGAGGAGGACCTGGCGACCCCGTTTTTGTTGGCGTCGCCGCTCGAGCGTCTGCGCGCCTCAACACGGCCCGGTGCCGGCGACGCCGTGTGCCGCATGGTGGCGGCACGCCGACGCTCCGCCCGGAGAAGCAGAAAAGCACACCCGTGATGCTGGCCCCGGCGGTGGAGCAGTGGACGGCGAGGGAGGCCAGGCAGCCCGAAGACCGCTGCGGCCTCGATCCAGCACTTGCACGCGGCGCTCGACCTCTTGAGCAGATGCAGAGTGTAGAGGGGCCCAGGGACGCACCAACAAATACACATATATATATATATATATATATATATATATATATATATAACAGGATTCCCCCTATTTTCGCATGTGTGTTTGGATCTTCGTCTTCCTCCCCACTTCCCATATTTTCCCGTCTTTTCCTGGGAATCGACGATTCATTGTGTATGTGTGTTGTTCCCCCTCCTGAAAATGGACATCCCGAAGACGACGGAGGATGTGGCCAAGTTGGCCAGGCTCTGCGTCGAAGGCATGCTCGACCTCAGGGGCTAGCGTGCTGCAAACACGTCAGCGTCACAGTTCGTACAGCAGCCGTCGGCCATAATGATCAAGCATCAAACATACCTTGAAGAGCATAAGAACCAACTGACCAAACAAAAGACAATCCAAGAGGAGGCCTCCGGCACGTCGGACACAGCCTGTGAGAGCGTCAACACCTTTGAGAGCGAGGCGACCCTCAAGCTCGCGGAGCTGGCGACCGCCAAGAGAAAGCAGTCAACCTTGGTGCTTCAGGCCTCTTCGATCTTATCCCAGGAGGAGGAGGAGGAGGAGGAGGAGGAGGAGGAGGAGGAGGAGAAGGGAGGAGGGAGGGAGGGAGAGGAGGGAGGAGTTGACGCAAGGCTGCCTCGGACAACAGACGGGGGCAGGCTCGGCGCCATCACTGGACCACGTCGGGGCAGGCAGCAGCCCCAATCTCGGCTCCAAGACCTCTGGCTGGTCCAATTTGTTTCCGATGCGCGGGCCCCGGAGGTCCGGACCACTTCCCGGGGACCGGCTTTTCGTCCCGCATCGTTTCTTGACGCTCCCGAGGCCCGGCGAGGGCCCCCGGAGGCCGAGAACAACACGGAGCCGCCTGCTCCAACTTTTGTTGGAGCGTCGGACCTCAAGGACCAGCGCTCGCTGCATGCGCTGAGCAGCCAGATCTGCACGAGCCAGGCTGCGCCCGCGCACCCAGGCCTCTTCGACGGACCGTTTCGCGCCAGGCACCTCGGCCGCGGGACTCCTGGCCCGTGTGCCCCCCCCCCCCTGCAGGCCTGGCCCAGGGCGAAGCCTCCAGAGGCTCCCAGGGGGCCCCAGCGGCCTCGGGAGGCCCTCTTGCACCAGCGTGAGATCGGGCCTCAACATATGCTCAAAAGTAATCCAAACATCGTCCACAGACTATTTGTGCTGGACTATTTTTGAATATTCCCCATGTAGAAAACTCTTGTCATAGCGCCCGATGGGGACAGCGGCAGCCGCCGCTGCCGCGCCTGCGCTGCCTCCCCCCCCCGACCGCGGCGGGGAAAGCTGCAGCCCGGGGAGCCCTCGCGAGGCAGGGCCGCTCGCGTTCGCCACTCCGCACCGCTCTCCTCCCTCCCCGGATGGAGCCCTCCGCCCGCTCCTCCCAGGTCGGGCATGCCTCCCTACAGGCGGATGCTGGGCGACAAGTTAAAAAACGTCGTCCCCAGACTATTTGTTGACAACTTCTGAAGATTCCCCCCTGTGGACGGACATGCCCGACTCAACGCTCCCCCTCCCCGCCCGCCTCCCTCCCCAGAGGGAGCCCTCCGCCCGCCTCCCTGCCCCTCCCGCTCTCCTCCCTCCCTTGGAGGCCTGGACATTGGCACCAGCACCAACACAGGGGGCTGCCTCCACAGGGGGAAGATGATCCTCGACTTCGGCGTTCGTGGTAACAGTCCGGGCACCTAGGAAGCCGGAGTATGACCACCATCACCGAGATCGGGATCTCCTTCCCTCGGTGGGGGCACGCCGCCGATGTTGGTGTTGGTGTCAACCTCTACAGGCCTGCGACGCCCCGCGTGGTGGAGCCCTCCGCTCCCCTCCTGCGGCGCCGCCCAGCGGCGTGCTGTTCGCGCTGCCGCCGTGGCCGCCCGGCGCCTGCTTCCCCTTCTGGAGCCCCTTCCC